CTGCATTTTTCCCGTTAAACTGCAAAACTTGTGCATTTCACTCGTTATTATTAAAAAGTTTTCCTAAGTATGATATAGCATTTGCGATCAACAAGATGTTGGTTCTGAATACGACCCTGGCCAATTCTTGGGATTTTCAATATCACGTGCATAGGGCATGTCAGTGTTTACATCCACTCTATCTTGGATTTGAATTTGCTTTAGTTTGATATTATTTTTGATATTCAGATTTGATAGTTTGTCAGCTAGGTCTACCGAATTTAGAACTGTGATTGAAGGATTAAATTTTGTGAGGTCTTTGAATCTTGAATTTAAAAATTTAGACAACTTACTGGTTGGGACATCTATATATGATACCACGGGTCTGGCTGGATGTCCTTCTTTGTGTAGTTTGATTAATCCATACAATTCTGAAAGCTGGGGGTTCATGCATATTATGTATAAATAAAATTTACCAGTGGTATTTAGACAAAAGTGTTTTTATTCATTTCATTTAAATAATCATGAATTACAATAAAGTAAACAAGTCATCAATCACACATAATAATAACGGAGTTGGCAATGGTTCCGACTTAATTTGGAACACCCTGTAGATCTGTGTGCAATTTGATCATGTTTCATACTATTTTTCTTTTTATACTGATTATCGGATGATAAATAAAGCATTCATTCATTCATTTGTTGAGCTCCTAATAGAGAAATCTTACATGATAACAGTTTCAGTAAAGTGTAAAAAATAGTTACCACGACTGACAAGGAGAATACTGCAGCCACATAGGATTATTGCGTTACATACAACCTGGGAAACATGTTTGGTTTCCACTGTACATTCAGAGGTTCTGGTTTCAAGAATAAAAAAAAATACTTTGTTTTGAAGTTACAAAAATTATTTTGGCTTTTATGTTTCATAACAAATGCAACTCTATTCATAATACACCAGCATAACTTTGAAGCAAAAGTATGTAATAATTCATCAACATAAAGTATGAAAAAACTCTACAGTAAAATACAAAATTTGCATGGAACCTTTTTCCTGAGAATAGTACAGCGAACGTGTCACAAGCACTAGTAGTAGGGACAAACAGAAACTATTCACATGTAAAACGGTATTATTTACGTAATATTAATTTATTATTTAAAAATATAAATCTGATATAAAAAATTATTTTGTGCTAGTATAATGCCAACAAGGCATTGCTGTTTTGCGAATTGTACGTCGGATAATCGATATCCGAAAGAAAAC